TTGTCGATCATGTCAGATATGTCATATATGTCAGATTTGTCAGATTTGTCGATCATCTGCGCCACGTAGGTCCTATTATATTTTATTCGTTCACAGTATTGCTAAATGCCTTAACAATGGCAATGTAAACTTTGTTAGAAGTTTAGAATATGGGCGATATATGTGTAAAATAGCAGGCAAATTGAATCGCTAAAAATCAACTATTATAAAATCAGATATCTTACTATTGAGAGAAAACTTAATAGTATAGATTTCTTAGATTCGAAAATAATTGTGAGTATATGCAACAAGTTTTCTGAGCTATAGATTCTTTACCAAAATAATATATTATTATTATAATAATACAATAAATTGATCCTTTCTTTTTTTGTATAGATCGCCTACTGAATGTACCACCTGTGAAGGAGAATAAAACACATGATTTTGAGCGACCTAAGGATGTTAAAAATTTCCAAGAAAGTCACGATAGATTATTTTTTCTGAGAAAAAGAGGAAGTTCATTTAATAAAGTAATCATGAGATTCTTAATTCCTAAATACTATGCGAAGCGTCTTACGGCTAATTATAATTTTGAAAATTTCTATGTAACAGTTATCTAGCAAGCTTATAGGAATTATAAGAAGAGTCCTGAATCTTTGGCGAAATAAGTTTGGGAAGTAGTTCAAAATGATAATACTCCTGAAGATAAAAAATTTCAAACATGCCTAATTCTGATTATAGATATAACATGGAATTTGGAATTTTTGTTAAAGAAGGGTTTCATTCTAGGCATGCTGTTCTTTATGATGCTAAAAGTTTGTCAGACCATAAGAGGCATCAGTTAGCTAATAGACTATTATAGTAAGAATTAGCTGAAAAAAGTTACAGCAAGAGTTAGCTAAAAGACGAAATAGAGTTTTAATTGATATTGAAGATATTTTGATTCTGTACGTGTAAAAAGGGATTGGAATAGTGAGTCACGTTCATTGACCTTCTCCGTTGCTACAAAAGCCTATTGAATTAATGGATGGTCTCGAGAGATACCCTAGACAACGTAATATAAGTGCACTTAAGATAAGAAATCTTTGTAGCGATCTATCAAATATGACTAATTTGGATAACCTTGTTGTATATTTCGATTCTATGTGAAAAATGCAAGGAAGGAGATAGACTTAGGCATTTCGCAATATCTTTCAACTGAATATTAACATTATTTCTCTTAATTATATTTAGCTAAAAGTATAATACATGAATTATTTATATTATTTTTTTTTGCGAAATAAATATGAGTTTGTGTGCCAAATTTTCCAGATCAGTCCTTGATCCAGATCCTGAATATTATCTTAATAAAAATAATATGTTGTTCAGTACAATGCATGTATGATTTATAGGTAATATACCGCAAATTATCTGTGACTCTGTGTAATTGTTTATGCAATAAGATACATATAATCATCCTATCTGCAAAAGCATGATAGAAATTCATTTTTATTTGCTATTTTAATTTTATGATCAGATTAAATATAATTGGTCAATATAAATATATTCATATGAAAGTAATAGTAATGGTAATATGATACAATTCTTTCGGTTGCTCATGTAACAAAAGAAATTTTTAATAGTGTATTCTTCATGCTTTAATAGACTGCTTAAAACTTTCAGATCAAGTAAGATCAAGTATTTAAAGGTAGTTCACTTATATGTAAATTTAGCAAAAATATATATAAATGTCATAGAAATTTCAAATTTAATATTTATATGATATCTTAATTTCGTTACTATTTATCTATATCCTCTAATGCATTTTGTAAATTTATATCTCTTTCTTGAATATTTTCATGCTCTTCTATATCTTCTTCTAAATTTTGTGGCTCTTCTTCAAATCTATCATTTTCAGAAAATATATCAGCTCCTTTTTCAAGTTTTTGTAAAAATGAATTAACATTCTTATTTATTACATTTTTGTAATATTGTTCAATGTATCGACACTTATATTCCATTCTATCATAGCAATGCCAGTGAAAACTGTGACTTCAGATTGATACAATGCCACTATTATCGTCATCCAATTTTTTGAAGCAATCATCATAAAATCTTGGTAAGAGAGGAATTCTGGTACTATAGCCTGTTGATAAGCACACAATATCAACTTCTTCATTTAAAACAACAAGTTATATTTTGAATTGATTTTTTCTTTCTTTCTTGCCTTTTATCACTAGTGGTTATTTTAGTAGTTGTGCATTTAATATGTTAGAATAAGTGACAAAAATAATCTAGCAAAAATAATGATGTACTATTTATTAAATATTTTAGAGTAGAGAGCGTATATGAGTATCTTTTTTTATATGAAATGATTTTTTAAACAGCGATTGCTTGTTTGCATCTATTTGTTTTTAAATTTAATTAATATTATTTTTAAATAAACATAATTATATTTTATACATACCTAGAATATAGGTCTGTTTAATAATAGCTTCGACGCTATCACTGGATGATGTATTTACTCGTATTTGACTATGTAAGTTTTCAACAAAATAATCATTGAAATTTACAAGAAACATTTTTATTACATAAAAAATATCTGACAAAAATGCTAGAGGAGCTTTGTTGTAGTTCTTACGATTTTATCATAATGCAAAAGTCTATATACAAAAAACAGTTTCAATATATTCATCAAAAGAACCTGAATAAAAAAGAACTGCATATACATCTAGTGTTGCTGAAATTACATTGTCAAAAAGATCAATTAACATCCTGTATTCTACATCTTTACATGTAGATTCAAATTTTTCTAGTATTTTTACTTTTATCTTTAACCATCCTTGGTAAGCAAGTTCAAGAAGAAGATTAATTCTCTATAGTTTTGGTTTCTTCGCAAGAATTTTTCAGCTTCCAAAAACTGCATGAAAAAGCTTTTTAAAAATGAATAATAAATTATTAGAACTTGCTTCTGACTGTTTAATGAAACATGAAGAAGACCTAATATAGATATAAAGACATCAATAGATGCTGGTATTTGTAATGTATTTTGATGATATAGATGAGTTAATGCTTTTCATTTGAAAAGTTATCCAGGCCAATCAGCAACAACTGGTATAACATAATCATTTATGCGTCCAATATCTTTATTTATTGAAAGAATCATCTACAATGCATTTAAATAATCATTTAATGAATGAAGTTGAGAGTCTATAATTCTAACTAATCGTACTTCTTTCATATTTCTTTCCTTTGTATTTTCTTTTATAGCATCATCATAACAATGAACAATCAGAAAATCAACTTAATCAAAATTAGTAAGTCTTACGCTTTGTGAAATATTCCACTGATTTTTTCTTTGTGTATATGATAGATCAAAAATTTCATGATATTGTGTAATTAAATACCAACAAATCAAGGATGCATCTATATTATTAGGATTATGAACTGAGTTGCCGTTGTAATTTATTGGAATTGGTACACCGTTTGAAATTTATTTGCTAACACATGTTGTAAAATGGGTTGCAGTTGAGAGGAATACAGTATTAGGGTGTCTTATTCCATGTATATTATGATAATCATCAATATTATATACAAAAAAGCTATTATTCTAATAGTCAAAAGTGTTAGTTTAATTCTAATTAAAAATTATATTCAAAATGTTTACCTTTTCAGCAAAATACTTTCAAATATTTTCTGGATGTGTATTAGCTATCTTTTTTTTATAGTTTTCAACAGTTTTGTAACAAACAGAAATTCCAGCATTATGCATTGTATTGATTGCATCATATGATGCACCTGACGCTGCAAGATAGAGTCCAATTTCCAAAGGATAATAGTTTACAAATTTATTGCGTATTGCTGCTATTGAATAGCATATATTAACTACCTTTTTTTATCCTCTTTCTGGAATAAATGAATTATATAATTCATTAAAGAATCCTTTCAATAATGGTTCAGTATTTTCAAGCAATGTTTGAAAACGATTTGGATCTAATTCAAGTATTTGATTTTCTTTTTTCTGTTTGTCATAAAATATTTTAGTCATTAACGTAATCTTGTCACCAAATGATAATGGTTTTATATTATTAACAACTACATTATTTTGTATATTAGTGTTTTGCATACGATTAGTTGGTAATTTATTTCGATCAGGTTCAATAATATTAAGATAATGAGAATAGCATAATTGCTTTCCAATTTTTAAATAATTATATTGATTAAAGGTGCCTTTTTCTTTTGCTTTTTTTAATGCATTATTTGTAATTCCACGATATTGATCTGATTCTATTTGACAATTATAAAGGGCCAAGATTTTTTCGGGTCATTATATATAAAGTTTTTAAAATTAGTTTTCGATAAAAATATTTTTTTTTATTAAAACTTTTCGTGTTATTCTTTAAAAGGTATAATACAGATTGATTTTTTAAATAAAAAACTAAAATATAAAGTCATTTTATTATACAAACGCGTTACTTTTACTCTAGTATATCATGTATGCACGTTCTTTTATGATGAGTTTAATGCATAATATACTTCGCACTTTTGCGTATCACTTCTAGTATTCTAATCATTTAATATTCACGTGATGAAAATTAAAAATTTTATTGGTTTTATTTAGTGTAACATCATCATGTAGATCACAAAAATTTACCAATCAAAACAAACTTCCATCAACTACGCGATAAAATGTATATACACAAGTATTTTAAACGTAAACATACTGAGTGGAGTGTTACCGGTTTTCTAAACGAATGTAACGAAGAACCGTTTCGATTCAAAGTGGATATATATCTTAAAAGTCTCGTGAATATTATCAATAGTGATCAAGGGAAGAAACGTGAAAAGGCACAAGCTCTCTTTGACAAGTATAAAATGGCATGTGAAAATTATTTATTTTTTTATTGAAACTGTAGACGTGGCGTGGTGGGAATTCTTTTAGCTTCTTTACCATTCAGGTCTTTTAGTCGAGCCACAAAACCAGTGTTAGGGCACAGGCAACCTTTTAGCTTGGCTGATGTTCAGATGGGATGAGAAATCGGATGAATTATTACGTGTTAATTGTGAATATTGCTAATTACCCGAATATTATTACATTGCTAGGAGCCTAAACCCGATAACGAATTAGCAAGGTGGGAGAATGAGCGTTCGCATAAACAGGTCCACCTCCATCAACCAACTATAAACGGGACTATAAGTGGTCCGATAAATGGTGCATATGTAACTGGCGGAACAGTTGGAACTGTAAACGGAACTGGAACTATCAGCGGAGGGACTTTTGATGTTGAATCATTCGCATCAAAAAAAAGAGATCAAGAGGTAGATATATTTTTAGTTGGGAAAGTATAAATCGGCAGAACTAATTATTTATATTTTAATCTTTTAGGACTATCAGGAGGAGTTGCAGAGAAAACAAGCAAGAATAGACGGTGAGAATCTTCAACCTATCTATAACGTTCAAATCCCTCCTCCACGCGTTGTCACTCCTCCCCATCCACCACAAACACCTGAACATCAAATATTTTCTTCGAGTTCCATCGTTTCTCCCACCACAAGAAGTGAAAGTGACGAAGATGATTTTGATGCAGATGACCGAGTCTTGACAGAAATTCCACAATAGCCTAACAATTCTATTAGGACTACCGCACGAATCAAACACGCGTCAATGAATTAAAAAATGATGAACACGAGGTTGATAAATTTGCGATTATGATCAGCTACGGAAGGAGCATATTAATATTGACTGTATTATTTTTTTTATGACAGGAAGGAGGACTTTCTTCCAGTAGATTTTCGCTCAGAAAAATATTCAGAATAAATTATGCTGAGTCATTATTTTCATTTTCTTCATCGGAAGAAGAGACTATCACGCAAATATATGAATCTTGACCCATCACGTACATTAATCTTAACTCACTTGTCAATCACTGTATAAATAAACAATTGTTTTATAATAAGATCGGCAAGTGGGTCAAGTTTCACCAGCATATGGGTCAAGATTCATATTTTTGCATCACCTGAATTTGATTACAAAGTGCAACAAAAAAGGTTAGTAATACCAACATATTTCAGTTATTTTGAAACTCTGATTGACATTCTTTTTTTACAATCTTTGATTTAGGTAAAAGACAATCTTCCCAATCTAAAGTTGATCAAGATAGCAGAAGTACGTCTATGCGTGATGAGGAGACTGTGAGTGATGAGGAGATGAATGTTTCTAGCGTAAGTTGACATGTGTCTTTATGTAATATATTTTTTAAGAGCTACGCCCGAGTAATGTTTGTTTTATCAGTCAGAGACACCACCTCTGAGGCTACGCGAAATAACCATAATTACACCACAAAAATCGACTCTTTATGAGCATACTGCGAATTATTTGTCCAAACATTTCTCATTGAGTTTTAATCAACAGTGCGTTATAATGAAAGTAAATCAATTCCATCGGAAATTCGCGATTGGCTTATTTTTAGTAAGTTAAGATAAATTTATTTGGATGTTATGCTCATGGTATAAATATATTAACGATTTCCTTCTTAATTAGTCCGAAAAGGATAAATTCAAGCCTTCTGTTTTAGCCACTTTCAACTCTGATCACCTATGTGAGTATATTAGAACCTTATTCTCTTCTTTGACATTACTGACTAACACGTTATTTCAACTCAGTTTCTCAATGTCTAGCGAAGCTTTTCTAAATCGAAATATCGGAAAAGAAAATACACTGTAGACAGAATAGTTCTTCTGTTTAAGGCCATTGAATCAGTATATCGAGAATATTATTTTGATTGGATATAGTGTTTCGAGCGAAATCATATCTCAAATCCGAAACTTTTCGTCTATTGAACTTTAAGTTTCGCCTTATATATCCGGAAACCTTAATTTGGGAATACTTTAGATCAAATGGAACGAAACTAGTTTCGCCCGAAACATTAATTGGATAGAAGTTCAAGCAAATTGTATAAAAGATGTCAAATCTATATTTCCAGAGTTCGACTTCACTTTAAAAAAGTTCGGTAATATATTTGCTTACTGTACTAGTTATTTTGAACATTGTTTATCTTACTTCATCTATTAATATTAGGCGACAGGATTACGCTTAGCAAACTTCAACTTATAGTTGCCTGACGAAACTCCTGGGTTTAGACAGACCGTCGAAAACCTTAATAAAATCATAACCTGTCGAAGCCCGTCGAAACCTATTAAACTGTCGAAACTATATTAAGGACTTATTAAAAACCTATCGAAACTAGAGGTTTAGACGTTTTGACAAATTCAAAATAGGTTTCGTCAGGTAAAAAACACTTTTACAGTTTCGCAGATTAAATCAGCAAAACTTCCACTTTCATTTGATGAAGTCGAATTATTATATGCATTAATTGTGAGTGTTCTCTATACGATTTATTAGATATATGAGATTTTTTTTTTATTTTTTTTTTATTTTAATTTATATTTTTATTCACAGAACGAGTTGAAAGATCAAAAGGAGTTAAAAAAAAAAACTCGCTCAAGTAGATCTACCAACAGTAAGAAGTTGGTTATGGATACCAAATAATATTTTGACATGGCAGCGTGTTGAAATAAAAATATGAAGATTAATATATTTTTGTTTTAACCATTTGAATGTGAATCTAATAAGATTTCGCTTTGTGATTTTAGCAATCATTACTTAGGTTTTTTTCTGATTTCGATATCGATATATTGTATCCGTGATCTATGACTGCGGCGATCACCTGATTTAGTTGACATTCATATTTAACTTTGTTAATTTTGTAGATTTATTTATATATTTTATTTATTATATTTATTATATTAGTCATGTATATTATATAGGACATATTTATCTCATCATATTATTATTAGTTTATATTATATAAATAGCATGTATTTTCCCTTGAATTAAAAGATAACTCTAGATTAGGGTTGGAAAAGTCCTAATTGGTTCTGATTAATTTTAAAAAAATTATTAGTTTTAAATATATCATTAATTCGTGTATAAGTGAATCAGAATCACTAAATATTATAGTAAAATAAATATTTAGCCTGCACATTAAATCATCGTATATAATTACACCCTTGTCTAAAAACTCTAAAATCTATAAGATCTGAAAATGCAATATTTAAAGTATTTCATTGTATTGAATATAAAACAAATTGCGTAAGTTTGCGATGATATTTTTTGATATTTTTATTATTTTTATTAACTTATGACATCAAATGTTAAAAACAAATTATGACCAACCAACCTAATGCAGGCAGTGATACAAGAATTATATATATTTATAAATTGACATTAACTATTTTAGTAAAGGGTTACATTCTTTTGTTTGATATTTCAAAAAACTAACCACTCAGCGACTGCTTTCCAAATTTATTATAAAAAAAACTTAAAGGTCGAACATGGCTTATATCATCACATTATTTCTCATGAGAACGATCTACCATGATTATTATTTTCACCACCATCTAGACTTTCCAAACTTTTTTTCTCCTCAATCATTTGCTAAAAATTAAAAAATAATTAATATTACTTTATGTAATACTACTTAAATCTTGTGATATTTTGTAATACTTACCAAATATTTATTTACTAAATCCATAATTGATTCATCAATTGTTATATGTTCAATTGCCAGATTTAATATAGTATAGCAAACGCTAATTGCGAATGCAACATGTAGCATAGTTGTATTATTATAGTCATTCCAAACCTTTCCTAAAATCTGAGATATATACGAGTCTTTTATATCATCACTTATATATCAGAAATATTTTTAATGTGAAGTATTACATAAGATTTATGATTCATAAATTTATGGGTGTATTACAGCATAAGTTTACGTAAAATTTACGTTTTTGATGTAGTTCTTCATAAAATTTACGATCTGTGACGTTTACGCTATATTATGATCAAAATATTTTGAATGATTTACAGTCTATAAAGTTTACGTAACACTACGATCGAACATTCTTATGCATTGTGATGTATCACTATAACTATTCTGATCAAAAAATAAAGTTTCTAAATTTATTTTAAGAATAAAATTCGCATACGTATGATATATGACTTTATCTTAAATGATTTAATACAGAATAATACAATTACAAACTTAAAATTTTTTCATAATAAAAAAAAAATAAGATAATAAAATGTAAGTCTGAATGCTACTCCGTAAGTATTAAGTTTTTTTTCTTTTTTTCCC